TTCGTACATTATGGTCCCATTTAGAGTAAAACAAATGAAGTGTAACACATTTAGCATTTAGCAAATCGTCAGTCTCTTTGTATGTTGACTAAATTTGGATTATAGGTGTGATTAGTGCATTGCATCACGTCACTCATTCTGTGTTTCCTGTTTTATTTTGTAGAGTACTAACATTTCCTGTCATTTCAGTTCATGCTGTGGCTTTACCCTCTCTACCTGTACCTGGTTCCGCCCACTTCCTGCCCCTGTTCAATGCTGCCAGTAAACCCCTCATCAAGTCTCCTCACTTCAACTGTGTCCATGCCTCTCACACTGTCCCATATGTTCCACTCTCAAGTATGGCCTTTTCTCTTTTGTATGAGCTTTTGGAACACACTTAAAGGTATGTCCTCTTTTAAGAACATTGATTTACAGCTGGTCTCCTAAATGTTTTTCTGCAACAGTTTCACAATCAGACTTCTTCTCAAGTTGAACTCGACAGTGCTATGCTGAGAATTACACACCAAAATCAGAGTTGTATGATTTTTTGGGACCTGACAGCTGCAAGTGAAGTAACACGGGAGATTTCAGTCCTGGTTGATTTTTTCGGACCCTCATGGCTACTGTGGTGAGAACAAGCACAGTTTGATATAACTGAAAATGTACTTGGTCAAACATACAACAGAACAACAGCTTGTGTATCTGTTTTCAGTTTAGCCAATCAAACAATCTGCCAGTTGCCTTTTCACCTGACAGCTCACTGTGGCTGCTCCTGACTGCTCCCAATCCAAACCAAAAATGTCGGTCATCTTGCTACGTAGACACATTTTGATAATAAATCACACTCATTGCTGTTTGACAAATTTGTTTCCTGTGGCTGCTTCATGATAAAAGCCATTCCATGTTTCTCTAGTTAAATGCTTCTTAATGTGAAGCAGGTGCAGCAGGATATTCTGATTGCTTTTGCAGTAATGCAGCTGTGATTCGATGCAAAGAGAGTAAACCATGTTTCATATCAAATATATGAAATTGCAGTGAATTGTCTCTTGGAAATCTGAATCTTCTTCTGATACTCTTCTGCTTCCAATGCAAAAACAAAAAAAGTAGGTAATCGCTGAATTTAAACACATTGAATGGCTACTGAAGTAAAAAAGAAAGTGTGGTGTATTGTGAAGCCTTTTGAGCCACACAGTACTGACGAGACATCTTATCAGCTGAAAGTTTGAACAAGAAGTACAGAGTCAAGATGGTCTATTTGGATGAGAAAGAGTTGCTCTAATTTGATTGTACAAAACATAAACTGTATGAAAAGACAGACGACGCCTCTCCACTTCCTCCCACTATCCAGAAATGAATTCAAACTATGCTGGATACGAACACTGCCATCTTTGCCATTTGAAGTTGGCACAGAAGCGATTGGGGGAAGGAGCCAGGGCAGCGGGGTCCTGATACATCAGCTGTCAATCATAACCTTTCACTCGGTTTATAGCATCAAATGATCAATTAAAACCAAACTTGAACAAACATCAGGGTGATAAGAACACAGGAAAATGACAGAAACCATCTTTGAGGAAAAATGATTTGTTTATTCTGACCTCTCTACTTTAGTGTTTAAATATATATTGAATATGGAATCAAAAAGAGGATTGTATACAGTCACAGTACTATGCTATGGAACTGAAAGAAAGATCTGAAAAGATGATTCAAAGGTTTATAATTAATTTAGTTAAGCTTTTTGAAAATTCATTACTGATAGGGCTAAGGGGTTAGAGTGGTGGTCCACTAACCAGAGGGTTGGTGGTTCAATCCCAGTCTCACCCCATTCTGAATGCAAAAGTGTCCTTGGGCAAGATACTGAACCCAAATTGCCCCTTCTCATAGAGAAAAGTACAGCACATAGATGCACTGTATGAATGTGTGTGTGAATGGGTCAATGTAAAACTCTACTGTACAGCACTTTGAGTGGTCATCAGTAGAAAAGTGCTACATGAATACAGACTATTTACCATTTGTATGTAGTGTTGGATGATTAACATTAACATTAAGGAGTCTCAGTTAAAAGTTTGAGTTAAATTCCCATTATGAAATGACAGAAAGTGAGAAACTCTGAGTGTTTGCACTCTAATCCTGTGATATTATGCATGCAGTGAGCTTTAGATCATTGTCTCTGTGTGAACTGTAGGAACGGTGAACTGCTCCCCCACAGGTCAGGTGGCTTTTTGCATTTTTGACTCAAGTGAATTATTTATTTTCCAGTTGAGCAGTCCAAACAAAAGATTGTTTTCTGCACTGAGTGTACAACAGCAGGGAATGTGATATTTTCTGGTGGACTGTTGGACCTCCTTATGTACGTAAATGGTTCACCCACACAAACCATGACTCACTATCCTGCCCATGATACATCATCAGTAATGCTCAACTACTGTATTTGATTGTGTAGGTGTGTGTTCTTGATTGACAGCAAGTTCATTGTTCAACCATATGTAACTGAAATAGATTGTATTTCTCACACACACACACACACACACACACACACACACACACACACACAGTATCTTGGCAACAGCCGTGGTCAGGTCATTGGCAGGGGTGCCAGACTGCAGCGACAGACGAGTCACACACACATGCATGTGAACACAGACAAATACACACTGGGCACTTTTGTGTGTGTGTACAACCCAATATCCTTGAAATTATACCCTTATTAAACTGCAACAAATATATTTTTATTACAGGATCAAGTTGAACTATGTTGAAGAAAAAGATTTCTGAGATTTCGAGGATGAAGTCAAGGTAGAACAGAAACAATCATAATTTTAGCAGAGTAAAGACAAAAGATATATTTTAGGAAATTATTAACAGACTTTTCGTAATATAAGATTAATCTCAATTGATTTATTCTTGTTTATTTATTCTCAGAATTGATGATGCAACAAATACACCAGAATACACGACCAAATACAACCTCCACATATAGTTTACTACAAGATGATTTAACTATTTAATGGCTTTTCTATAGTCACAAATGTATTTATTCATATTTGACCAAAACCACGATCGTTTCCTGAAGTTAACTAAATGGATTTTGTTGTTTTTACCTAACCACAGACAGGACTGTGGTTACCCCAGTCTCTGGTGTGGCAGGCGTGTGCTTTATATGCTCATCATCTATCTCTGAGTGACTCTGCTGCCGTTAATAAATATGCAGCTTCATCCGTTCAAAAAAATGAGGGACAGAAACCAGCAAGCGATTATAATCTCTGCTGAACAAAAAACAAACTTAATTATTATAAAGGACCCAGTAAGTCTGTGCACTATTAAAACCTATACAGTGTGGTACTGTGTGCTGGTTGTCCTGGTGACCTACTGGTGCATACATCACTTCATATTAATCATCACTGGCCTTTCACTTGTTTCACCCCAGCATTTCATATTCTGTAGCATCATACACCATGAGTGGCCTGTTCATGTTGGGCTGCATTTAAAATGGAAAACATTTGCCCTTATCTGAAGCCTGCTGTCCTTTTTCCTGTCTGTGTGTCGCACTTACTTCATCCAGTGCCCTTTTTTCCGGCAAACTATTACATTACGTGATGGTCAGATAAATTTAGCATTCTCTTAAAGCATAAAAAAGTATATTGTATTTACAATAGATATCTGTTTCTTGAACAAAGTTGGAGTAACTTAAAACAGAAAGGCAATGGAAAATGTTTGTAATATCAGCTGATGCTCTTTTCTCACGTCGACACAGTTGTTTTCTGAACTGAAGGACAGATTGATGTGACCACATCAGTACAAGCTGGGATAGGTTTCATCACAGAAACCTCTTAGATAGGTTTGGTTGTGTTCGGGTCAGAATAAGTCTTTAGTTAGGGTTAAAAAAAATTGACAAAATTAATTGTCAGTTGAAACTTGACACGAACAGTAGTCTTTTTTTTAGTTTGGCCCATGACCCATCCACTAACATGGAGGAGGGATTTGTGACTCTACTGCAGCCAACCACCAGCTGGCAATTGAGATGCTTTGGCTCTACTTTTGGGGAGCTGCAACGGCCATCTTGATATACTCTCCAATGTTCTTAGTGTATCCCCAAAGTTATTACAATTCATCATGAGTAAAACCTGAATTGTTGATATGGGCAGATTTTTGTTGTGGGAATTTGTGAATGTACGAGATGGTTAACAAATGTGACACAATAAGACCCTTGGTCATATATGTGTATATATATATATATATATATATAAAGTGATTTTGGATACATCCTTTTGGATCTTGCGTGCAAATGATGATAATTTATTATTCATTACTTGACATTGAATAGGTAACAAAAAAGGGAAAATGAATACAAATAGAATGAAACACTAAATTCAGATCAACTTTTATTTATTATTTTACTTTATTTCTGGGTTTGCGAGGAAACCAGTCCTAAATCTCCCCAGTCACACAATCCCCTGTCGTCTCTTTCTCACGTTGAGCTACAGTCCAACTCTTTCTGTGAGGTCAGGATTATGTCTTGATCTGTTGCGGGGCCCTGACACACTGCACTGTTTCTCTCACTGTCTCCGAAACCCTCTGAAGTGACATCTCATAACATTTTATTCCCTCTCCTACTCTCTCCGACCGCATCTTATCAAGCACTTTCTGGTTTTCTTGTCTTAACAGTATATGTGAGTGAGACTCCAGTAGTCCAGTGTTAAGATTAGGACAGCATGGCTGTGATGCAGGAGGAAACAGAAAAAATCTGTCAGGGATTAGAGGAGATTTTGGAGAGTTTCATGTCCTCTGTGCAAGGGCGATAGAAACGTTTGGATGAGGAAGGACAAAAAATTAAAAGTATGAAATAGTACATTATTGAAATTTATGAGTTTATGTTTTGCAAAGAGTTACCCGCATCTGAGTGTCATTTGCTTGTGTTTACGAGCCCGTTGCTGCAGAAATACAGGTGTAAACATGCAAATTCTAGTAATTTACAGCAGTTAACCAATTTTTTTTCTTTCCATCTGTTTGCAGAGGGTGCCAAACAGGGTATTAAAGTGTACACACGGGCCCACGCGGACAGACACGCAGAGGGTCAGGTTGAGGCAGCCCGACAAACACCCCTTCCCAAATACACACATATGCACTTCTGAAGGGCAGCCAAACCACACGGAAAGGCTGTGCAGTGGCAGCTGGATCAGGGTTACACTGTGTGAGTCTGTGTGTGTGTGTGTGTGTGTGTGTGTATAGGTTTAAGAGGGTGCCAGCAACAAAACCAGGGCAAAGCTATTTATACATCACTGATGCTGATGGAGTCTTATCTAGCACCAATGGCCTCAAGCCCCCTCACACACACCCCATTACCCCACACACAGTGCTGCTGTACGTACCCCACACACACGCACACACACACTGCACCACTGACTCACTATAACAGCACAAGTTTGCCCCTGTTAACACACACAGTGAGTTGATGGTGACGCTTTCGCATCCGAGTCCAGAGCCCAGTATTGTTATTATTTTCCACATCAGCGGGTTTGGGCCACGTCCAAATGTGAGAATGGGAAAGATGTGAGCTTCTGGCGAGGGACACTCAAAGCGGATTGTAACACTTAACTGTTTGCTAATTAAGCAAGCTGCACAGTTTGATAGCTCTGCTGCAGAGAGTGCTGCGGCTGATGGCAGCTGAAGGTGTTGTGTTGCTCTGATTATTCCTCGTGCTTATTTGCTTCTCTTTCACCTTGTTCTGCATCACCTCGGAATGTCAGCAACACAGTCAGAGCAACCCTGGTGATGGTAAAGGTCTATTTCTAGGCAGGTGAATTAAAATAAGATGCAGATGGCTGACAAACAAGAGGGCAAAGTAACAAACGGTCCAATCTTACTGCTCATTTATGCTCAACATTAGATATGTATACAGACACAACCTTCTGTCCCTACTCTGCGTTCATTTCCTCCGTCTGTGTGCATGTTTTCTGAAAGCTTACAGAAATGGAGCAGTACCATCAAAAAAACTTGGACGGACATTGCAGCAAACAGTTCAAGTGAGACGACCAATGGACGCATGAGGAAGGGGTCTCAAAAATGAGGACGGACTGCAGGTTGGAAGGAAACTATTCAAGAGGTAAATATAGCGATTGCATGATTGTTGGTGTCACTGTTATTTTGAGGGCACTCAAATATATTTACTTAAGCTACATAGCTGGGTGCACGATGTGTTTACACTTTTTCTCTACAGAGAAGCACTCTCGTACCACTTAAAGCACCTGGGCTGCATTTAGCCCAGACAAATCATAGCAAAAGGTCTATTTAAACATAAATGTGGTGCGTTGGACACCCTTTTGTGATATGCAAGCTTTGCAACTGTTCCCTAAGGAGGCCATTCTTGGCATTTCTTGGCAAGAAATTTCAGCGGTAGATGACTCGGGTTTAAATGCGTGTTTAATATTAAAATATATGCTTATCAATTTAACAACTAGACCTATTTGTGGAAATCAGCATGAAAGCCTGTAAAATAGGTTACCGTTAAATCTTAACATCTAATGACCAAAGCTATTATTGCTTATTGTAATAAATACATTCATTATAAAATACTAAGGGTTTGTACACTTGTTGCTGCTGATTGGGCAAAACCTCTAACACGTCCAATAAATGATAGATATTGTACCTTGAAGCTCGTTGCACACTGAGAAAGCATAGAGTTGAACCAGGAAACTATAGCAAAACTGAGACTGCATGTGCCCCTGTCCCTTAAAGGGAATGTGAGATGGCACACAGATTGGTTTATTGCATGTGTCACACTCATGATTAATTTCTAAGGCCTACCTTTGTTGTCAATGCATGAGGGTATCTTGGCACTGACCATCCAAGTCTGAAGTATCCAAGGTTGATGAGCACCATTCTTCCTAAAGCTAGAGTAGCCTCACTTCTGTTGTTTGAATGGGGCAGGTGGTTATATAGCAGCTATGGCAATGAGACTAAATCCTCATTGCTTGCATACTATTTAGTTTTGGAATTACAGTATTACGGAAATTAGATCAGGGCAGAAAAAGTAGCGTCGAGAAGCTTAACGTACTTATGTTTAAATTTGTGTTGTGGTTTCCTTAGTTTTTTTTGTTCTGCCTCCACCATTCAAGGCCTTCATTGACACTTGCAGATGAATATTGCTCAACTTCAAAACATGCGCACAACCAACAGGAAAACAGGATGTGGTAGCCATGCACTCACAAACACATGGTTAATTGCATGTACATATATTAGTTCTCAAAGGCATTATTAAGCTAGACATTAGCGATGCATGCGACACACCCTCCTCATTCATTTCAATAATGGCATTATGTCGACGCAGCAACAGTAACAGAACAATATAAGATGTGGTCATTGGACAAAAAACATGAGTCTGGATCAACTTTTACAGAAACATTTCTAAAAGTAAATACACAACGGATGAGAAAAAGATTACCATGACACCATTGTTTTAAATTTTTTGGCCAACTGTGTTTCATACTATGTCTGTGATCTTTAACTCATCCTATTTTCAGTGTCTCAGCGACGTGCCCCCGACAACGCAGCCTCACCCACTGCTGCTGCCTCTGAATTTGAACGCCCTGTAACATGTCCATACTCATGTCAGTTTGGCTTAATAATCCTTGTCAAACCATTCAGTGAAGCTTCTTTAAACATTATTCAGGTCTTTCCTTTAAGTAGTATTTTTATTGTTTGATTCTGTTTCTATTAATTGTTGCTGTATTATTTAATCCGCAGAAATACAGAAATGTAGATAGTTGCAGACTTCAATTAGTGATGGATGACGCTTAATTAAAAATGTCAGTACAACAATTGAAAAATACTCAGTAAAAATCTTTGTACTATGGGGTAGTTTATTTTATTAATATTGGTGATGTAGCTGCCACAAAATATAGTGAAGTAAAATATGAAAACTAAGTAATAGAATATTGT